GATTCAAATAGCGATAAACGTTTGCTGGTTGCTTTCCAAGAGCATTTAACGCTTAGGCCTATTAAATCTGCTGTATGAAACTTTCAAATGTCATTATCCACTTTTTGTTTTTTATGTATATTTATCAATAAATTTACGTACTTAATCGTTTAGTTAAAAAGCTATCCAAGAAACGTTGCCGGATCTCTTCGTCGAAAGGACAACAAAAGAAAAGATAAAAGAGAAGAACGTAATGAACGGAAGCTGAAGGTGTGTAATAATAAATAGTTATTACATGTATAGACGAGGATTTTGTGATGTCCAGAATAATTATTATCTTGCAAGGTCGAGCTAAGTGTTATCAGTCGAACCGAAGGCGAGACTGAGGACACTTATACCGAGTTCTTGATAATTCTGGATATCACAAACACCGAATTTAATAACTGTTTTATTATATATTGCATTTTCATTAATAAACACCTTCGAGAAACAACTATTTTTCGCGCAAAGGAACGTTTAGATCTCAAACAAGCACTAATAACAAATTAAAATTTCACACTAACAGCGCAGAAATAGTATACGAAATTCATTTACCAAGTAGTAAAGTTTCGATGAAAACACGTCTGTGTAAACTAGCCTCTTGCTATCAAATTACATACCGCTGGCTCAACCAGCTGCAGTCAACAGGCTGAACCAGCGGTGTGTAATTATATTCGTAATGTCTGTATGTTGCGTGATATCGGGATTTAGCTGTAACCTGTTGGCCAATCAGAACACTCGTAGTGACTGCAATGTATAATAATAATAATATGTAGTACACTGTATGTGTAATAATAATCTATTGCTGCATCAACATTGGATTTTAATAATTAACAACTCCTGAACATTGTTTTGGCAATGAAATGGAAATGGAGACAATATGATTTGTCAATTAATTCTGTTTATCAAAATCATATTCGGTTTAAACATTGTGTAGGAAAAAGAACAAAAGAAACAGGAGTTAAAGCGGCTGAAAAATCTGAAGAAGAAAGAAATTTTAGAAAAGTTAGAAAAATTAAAAGGTACTGTACGTATAGTACTGCACAGCAGATATTGTTACGGTATATATATATATATATATATATATATATATATATATATATATATATATATATATATATATATATATATATATATATATATATATATATATATATGTATGTATATATATATATATATAT